AAAATATTTAAAAAAAAAAAAAAAAAAAAATTTGGCGCGGCTATCCCTCAACTGTAATGAACTAAAGTTATTTAAAGTTTTTTATTTGTACATCACGCTTTTTTACATAGGAGAAAAAGAGCGATAAAAAAAAAAAAAAAAAAAAAAACAAAAACAAAAATACATATTGCGTGCGTTGAAGAAATTGCGTGTGCGTGAGAGAAAAAGCTTGCGTAATATAATGTATATGAGCCAAATGTGCGCGGAGAGAAAATTGAAAGAAAAAACGCTCACGGTGGTGATAGTGATGTATAAACGCTAAAACAAAAAAAGAAAGAAAGAGACTATTGCAGTACACGAAAATTCTCTCTCAAAAAAAATCTCCTGAAGTAAATTATTTTCCCGTAAAGGAAAGCAAAAAACAAGAAGGGGGAGAAAGCAAAAAAAAGAGAGTTTTGATGTTAATACTAATATAATAATAATAATAATAAAATTGTAATAGTTAAGCGCCGGAAAAAAATATTCTTCCCGGTAACTCGCGTAAAGATAAGGGATTAGAGGTTTTTTCGTGACCTCGCTGCGCCAATTATGCGTTGTGTCCATACAAAATACTGTCTTATATATTATATACATAATTAATATATTATGTATTAAATATCCGACAATATTGATTATTAAAATTCTTGATACTATAAAAAAAAAGAAATTTCCGCTTTTTAATTCCCTGTCCGCAAAATACGACACACTCTTATGTGTGCATTTTGTATCTCGTGTGTGTTAAAATTCAAGTGATAAGTGAACATGTATAAAATTTCTCGCACGATTAATAAAAGAACGAGTACGTGCCGCTATGTATAGCAGAGTAATCGGTTAAATTTTCAATGCGTCCAAGTGCCACAACTGCGGGGGATTGATCGTATATGTACTTAGCGGCAGCTTCTCGTACTGCATTTGCTGTGATCTCCTATAAGTAATTGAAAAAAACGTGACGTATATTGTTTTCACAAAACACAATATAATTTATTACGGCTTGTGATTTATAATATGTACGTGAATGAAACTGGAGCTTACTTCATACATCGCGAGTCTCTCATTCATGGGTTTATAACAATTACGTAAATAGATGCAGTTAACTATGTCCAGAAAACGATCGACCGGATCATTCAACTTGACGAGTTCGTGAAATTTGCATTTATTTACAGCACGTTCCACTTCCGCGTCGGTAATTGTCGTACACAATCTTCTCCATTCACTCATTAACATGTCAACCATGGTCTGTATACGAATGTTACTTGTGTGTGTGTGTGTTATTTTATCCTTTAAAAATCTTAATTGATATATCTATATTAACATACGTACACTGAGTTTCAATTTATCGCAAACAAAATAGCAACCCCATATGCTATTGCACGCGTAATCCAGAATGAAAGATTTATACAAATGACACGTGTTCGTATTAAATGCACTGTGCGCGAGATACGGCGCGTTGTGATTCGCCCCACCTGTGCAAAACAGAATCTCTTGATAAAAATAATAGGTACACACGGAGTTTAATCTCTTCTTTAAATAGAATATCAGAAAACACTGTTATTGTTTTTATTTCTTTACTTTAGCATCAGAAAACGTCACGTTTTCGAATTACCATACGTCATATCCCACGAGCCTACAATTTCTTTAGCTACTTCAAAAGCATATCGATCTTTACACTGATTGGGAGAGAAGGTCGGTCCTTCAAATCCTATAGCTACGTATCCTAATTCCTCGTCGTCGTCTCTCAGTCGCAAATCAGAACCTGACAAACACATGTACTTGATATCAAAACAGACAATTTGTCGTCAAAAAGGCAATTGCATCGAATTTGCTGCATATTTTATTTTACATAAAGTTTCTAGTAAATTATAATATTTTTACCTGAAAAACGTAACTGCTTCAATTTTAAACACTTCGAGAAGGATTCCAATTCGCAATCGTATGTTTCCTGCGGATTCTTAACAATATGTTTGCACACTAAAGTTTGTAACTCTTCTGAAGAGAGCGCACCAGAACTAATCAACGTGATGAAATGCGGCTTAAACACACGCTTTCTAAAGCATGTTAAACTGCTTGTCTCAAAATTTCTGTGTACATTACATCATTACCACGTCAGTGATAAAATAACAAAATTATATTCAAACAAAAGGTATATATATATATATAAAGAATTATTCTTTTACAAATACTTGATTATGTGACTTTCGGGAAATACGCTTTTAGCGAGTGCTGTATCTTGATACGCGATGCTAGAAAGATAATCCATTGCCACTCGTTCTGGATTAGAGTCAATTTTAATGAGTTCATTGAGAATCCGAGATTTTGCTAATTTAACATCCGTTGTACCTAAAATAACCAATTTACTATCAATAAAAAAGTTTTGAATAATTTTATAAATTAAAAATTAACAATACACGTGAGTACAGACATGTAACACCGTTTATAGCGACATCGATCAGCAACTCCGCGAGTTTTCCGGCATTATGAGAAGGTACTGTTCCATAAAATACAAACATATCTCGCATTGCATTAGCTGTTACAGTACCGCCTATTTCCTGCAATTCTTGTTCGATTTGTAGCGGACTTTTTTGCGTTCCTCTCTATTATTATTTATTTAGTCATTAGATTCGATTTATATATACATACATTTTTATTTTTAATATAAAAGTATAAAAACTAAAATTATAAATAAATATTCGTGTTATCTTTTCTCTTTCTCTATATGTATATATATATAATATATGTATAAAATATATATTATAAATTTTCCTTATACATTTTATTATTTACTTGAAATAACAAGTGCTCCAAAAATAATGCGCTACCGCGTTCATGGGATTTTTCAAACATTGTGCCTGCTGGCAGAAGACATCCAATGGTGGTAACGAACGATTCTCTTTTATATTCGGAAATTAAATGCATGCCATTAATCACGTTGCATTCCATTTTGCCCTCGAGTATTTCAAACGATGTGCCGCAAGACTCAGATGTCTTTGTGGTTATATCGTTACAATTTCCATGATTGCATTTACGCAAATCTGTTTTTTTCTAAAAATAAGATACATAGATTTTGTCACATTAGAAATGCACACGTAAATATTTTATTTGTATAATAATTCTTACAATAAAAAAATTATGTTTTGGTGCAACGTAAAACCTTCTCAAGATAAACATTTTTGCGATAAATATATTGCAAATCTATTATATTAAACGTATTATTCGTATTACCTAACAATTGACAGATACATCAAAAAGTAATATTTCTACGCATGCGCATATACCTATTGGTAAACTGTCAAAAACAGTAATATATTCGCGTATCTTCTCTCTTTATTCTACAATTAGTTTTTACAACTAGCACAACACTAGTGTTGTGCTATGTGTGTATATATATATATATACTTTAATCACGTGACCGAAGTCAGTAACACCGCCGCGGTCGCGCGGCCGAGGTCAGTGACCGCGCCAAGGCCGCGCGGCCGAGGTCAGTGACCCCGCCAAAGTCGCGCAGCGGAGGTCAGTGACATTACTGTAGTATGTATATAATACATATAATACAATATAAAGTATAATATTATAAATATATAATAAATTATATGTATAATATGTAGGTTTTGGTGCGCTTGTGGCTCTTGAACCGAGAAAACGGTTAGTTCATACGCCAGTCTATGTCTGTATGTAGATATAAAGAATGTTAGCAAAAATATATGCTAAAAGTGTCCAAAAATATTCACAGTAGAATTACGCACATCCAACCAACACGGCTGATGCAACGCTATGTATGTATAATATGTAGTATTTAATGTTATATATAATATGTCTGAGAGCGACCAGGCCCATAAGAGAATGTGTAATCACTTTTCCGCCCCGTAAACTAGCACATGTCTACGAGTGGTACACATTGGAACTATGCAGCCAGTCCACGAGCGACATGTCGGTGCGCTATGTCCACAGCGTGCGGTTCTATTCTGTGCTATGTCCACAGTGAGCGGTTCTATTCTGTGCTATGTGCACGAGTTTAAATGGTCACTTTCTTTAAGTGTGTGAGTATATTCGAGAGCGTGAATTTGATTTTTTTGAAATTTAAAATGACCGATCTCGTGATGAGAAGATGAGAAAGGAAAACAGAAAAGGATAAGAAAAACCATTGCAACTTTTCGTACAACATAAATGTGACATACCAGAAAAGATGTGATAGTCAAGAAAAGAATCTTATTTTAGCGAGCAGCATCAGAATTCGTAGAGTGTACTCATGTACCATCTCCTTTATCATCATTTGCTGCTATTTGCTATTATTTTTTTACAAACGCTACATATATACATATAGTTACATTACAAAGTAAAAAAATAAAATAAGTACATTATTTAAAATTGGTTTGACGGCACACAAATATATGTGTGTCTGAAAAGTTGCATTTTCAAAAAATATATCTTTTACTGGTGTATTACAATTTATCAGAGTGTGTTACAATTTTTGAGTTTTACAAGTTTACAAGTTTTTTACATATATATATACAATAAAGTACATACATAATAAATACGAACCACACATGGCAATATTTCTGGCAAAATTACACTTATTGTATGATATACTTCATCGCACATTAAATTCTCGATATAAATTTCATTTACTGATGTTTTATAATTTAAATTCTTATTATTGAAGTCTTATATATAGTGTTTACATACAAAAAATGTAACCTTACCTTACAGAAACGAAATTTAATCTTACATTTACATGCATACGCATTGATTCATATTAATCAGTGCATTTGCATTTTTCCTAATTTTTAAACCTGCTATATCCTACCCTAAACATCTAGCTTAAACATTACTAGCCTTGTTAATCAGGATTAAGGCTGCATGGCACATGCCTTGATCCTAATCTTACATGTTTATTCCTACCTATATCCGCGGTCTAGTACATTTCCTACCTACTCGATTAAAAAAATGTCCTACCTACCCGGTCTAACATATTTTCTACAAGCGCTTGTAGATCCCTATCTACATTGTTTTAGAAAGATTTAAAACCTACCAATATCGTAGATTCCTGCCTACATATTTTTAGAAAGTTTTTAAAACCTATCAATATTTTACGCGAGGGGGACAATTGTTTTAAAAATACTAAGTAGTATTTTAGATATATTTTAGTTTCCCGTTCCGAGTTTTTATATTTTATGATTTAAAGAGAGTATATACCCACCCGATAAAAGCGTACCATATGTAAATAGATGAGATAGAATATGAAAAAAGTAAAAATATATATTTAAATATATATATATAATTCAAATATATATTCAAATATATATTTTTGCAAAGATAAACTAGAAGAGAATAAATGTAGAGAATAAATATAAGGAGCATAAGCCTCCAAAAAATAATTCTATATCGGTTCTTTAAGAGAAAGTGATATAGAAGTCTCGAAAAAAAATTCTATATCGGTTCTTTAAGAGAAAGTGATATAGAAATATGAAAGTAGAAAATATAGATAAATATATATTAAAAAAAAATAAATAAATA